CCATCTTGCCTTTCTTCCATTCCCAGTCCCACTCTACTGCTAGTGTCATCTCTTTGTAGTTGACGCTGACCTCTAGACTCTCTTAAGTAGGAAAGGCAGCTTCCCATATGTGAAAGAGGAGGGGCCACAGTGTCCTTGGCAAGACACTGTCTTCCAGCACTACATGCTCCCTTCTCAGCTTCCCCCAACACACAGTCATCTTCACACTGGACATTGTTGGCCCCCAACAAGGTTCCGATACAGAAGAAAGCACCTGTGAGGTATCAACTTGGCTCTGCCAGTCACTTGGAGGCCAAAAGTATCCCACTGTCAGCAGCTAAAAGCAAATCAGCCCCAAAAGCATCCCTGTGCCTCATCGGAACACAAATCTCTGCTTTGAACCTTATGCCAAGTCTCGGGCTTATCGGCCAGAGGGTGTGTGAATTACCATATGAAAGAACTCTCTTGGATCACATTGAAAAGAATCCTCTTTTTAATTTAGATAAGAGGAACGCCTAATTCTCCAGAAAATACATATAAATTCCTCTCTAAATATCCAAACAGATTTATGCCCATAGAAGATGTAATGAATGATCTCCTTATAGAATAAAGAAATCTCTCAGCTATGAGGAAGAGCCAAGAAGCCCGAATTTTCTGCTGGGGACAGCAGCAGGGCCACCACCGAAGGTTGTCCAAGTTGTTCACTGCACAAGGGTGTTGGTTCATGGGGGCTGGAGGGGCTGGGAGGGGGTAGCTTAAATCCAGCCTGCACTCCACTAGCTGAGCCGCATGCTCAGTGAGAGATTATGTCAGTTCAAAGGGAGGTGTACCTTTCTGCAATTCAGCAACGCCCCTGGGTATGCTAGCAGGCAGCTCCCAGCCAGGAGAAATAGGTCTTTGCTTACAAACACATCATCTTCCAAAGGCTGGTGGCAAGAGCAGATAGCAGGAAGGCAGAAGTGAAGGCTGGGTCCTGGGGGGTGTGAGGAGGAGCTGCTCTTGGAGACCACCTGGGTGTCGGGAGGGGCTTATGCCCCCAGTGGCTCCCAGTTGGCTTCCAAGACTGCTCCGTTTGAGAGGAATCCAGTAAGGGACTGCTCCTTGCTCTCCATGCCCTTCACTATTCTCCATTAAGGCTCAGGCTGGCCTTCCCTGACCTCCCGGCCTTACCCTTCCCTGTTATGGGTTCTCAAAGCAGCTCTGCTTTTCCTTGATAGCTGTCATGTTGCACTTGCAAGAATATGTGTGTAGGTCATTTGATTCCCGTCCACCTCCCCTGCGGGACTGTAGGCTGTCTGAGGGGATACTAGATTGGGTTTTGCTCTTGTATCCCCAGCGCAGCGTCTGGGGTACAAAACAGGAGCTCTGAATGGATGGAAATGGTGTGAATGAAAGGGCGTGGGTCTTGCACTTCTGCATCCCTTCCTGGGCCTGACAAAACACACTAGTAAAAACACAGCTTCCCAATTCACCCGAGGAGACTTGGGATTCGTATGTTTACAAGGTTTTCCGAGTGATGCTAAACCACCCATCAGGACTGCGAACCCACACATACTGCTGCAATTGATATAGGAACCTTAGACGCTAAACAGAGGGAGCCTGAGGTCCAACCTGAAGTCTCCTGGGAGGCCTTCCAGTGGAAATGACGCCTCAGCCAGGTCTCGATGGTAGTGTGATGTGAAGAAAGGAAAGAAGGGCATTCTGGGTCAAGTGAACAAAAAACGAGAGACAGGACAGCACATGGGGCACATTATGGAACAGGGTAGTGGGACTAAACCAAAATGACAACAATGAGCCCCTGGTAGTAAATCAAGCCCAAGTCATGCACCATTCGACTGGGCTTCCAGAACTCTTTGGGGCAGGAAACCCACATCTCAGCAATGCACAGAGGAGTCCCTCTACACCCTCATTTGCAATGCAGGCCTCATTCCTATTTTGGTTTCCATTTACCTCTCTCTCTTTCTCTAATGAAACTGTGACCTCACGAATAGCCTTCTGAGCCCAGAACCATCAGGGCAGTCCTGCCGCTCCAGACACCCAGATGGTCTCCAAGACCCACCCACGACCCAGCCTTCACTTCTGCTTTTCTGCTCTCTGCTCTTGCCATGAGTCTTTGGGAGATGGATTTGCAAGCAGAGGGATGACCTGTTCCTCCTTGCTGGGGGCTGCCTGCTCACATACACAGGGCCTTGATAAATAGGCGTGATTTAAGAATTCCAAACTGTCCTGGATGGAAAGAAGAGGCGCTCACGCTGGCAAAATTGTAGGAGCAGCCAGAGCCAGGGTGTCCAGCCATGCTCATCACCGAGGCAGGAATGGGTCGTTTTACTCCATTTAAAAGCAATCTCGGGAGCATAAAGATCAGGATGCAGAGGGGCCTGCACGTTGTTTCACTTCATCTTTATTGAGCTCAGAATGGGAGGCGGGGGAAGGGGGCGGAGAATGGGTCTAAGGTTGGGAATGACAGAGCGGATGCATGTGGAGGGGAGGGCAGATCCTCGGAGATCTGCCTTGGCTGGAGTGGGAACCGTCCACAGCTGGTGAAGGAAAGACCGCTCACCCCCCACCGAAGCTCCTGTCCATCCTTCTCCACCTTCCATTGCCTCTGTTCCTGCTCCTCCCCTCTCCCCACTTCCCCTCCTGCACTGCTGGCCAGGGGCTCCAGCTAGGTTGGCAGGCGATCCTCCCTCTTAACTGGACTCTTTAAGCTGGACTTTTCTCATGAGCCCAGCTGTTGCCTTGACAGGTTTTCTAAGACCAGGGACTATGCCGCGGAGAGGACGGGAGAGTCCTCAGCACGGTTTCCCTCTCTTTGGACCGGGTGGCCTCTAGGAACCAACGTGGACCTGAAGTTCTCGGCCTCTGCACCCAGCTGCAGACCCAGGCGTCCTCTGAGCAGTGCCCCATGCCACAGTTCAGTGCCACCCCACTGAAGCCTGCACTATCTTGTCTGCTGTCCAGTTACAAATTAATCTCTTGTCATCAGTGATTAATGTATTTGAGTCCCAGGAGTTGCTGAACCAAAACAGCCCCTTGGGGTGAGAGAGTCTGCAGGTCCGAGCGGGGTGTGGATCTGCCTGTGACCCTCGTCACTCTGGCCCCTGTGCTGTGTCAGCAGGGGAGCAGGGGAGCAGGGCCCCGGACAGGGTCCTGCTCTGGGCGCTGCTGCTTCGGAATGCTTGCTGAGCTCCTCAAGGTGGAGACCCACACAGCACCGGCCTAGGC